AGAATTATTCGCAAATCTATCATATATATATATATATATATATATATATAGTAAGTATTACAGTGACTTAGCAAATAATGAAGGTTCGCAATGCGAAGACAGGTCAATTCGGAGAGATTTAAGCAGATCGTTTAGGCAATCGAGAGATAGCCTTGGAAACAGAGGGTTCCGCTTATTTGGAATTAACTATTTTCTTTCATGTCGCCTGGTCGATCTGCGAAGCTCCAGAAAAAATAATGCTTTAGCTTATCGGGCCTGGATAGGGCAAAATTCAATATTATGAAAGCTGATTCATGTAGAGGCATATTATTGCAAAAATGCAGCTTTCGGTAGACAGTTTTCCCGATATATTGTCCCAGGGTACATGACTAACGACATTTTTGTCGAGCATTTACAAACCATACAGGTAGCATGAAAATAGTTTAATGCATGATAAGCATGGATCATTTTGTTGTCTAATGGCTGTAAATAGCATTTTAGTTGGACATGACTAAAGTAATAAACAAAATATAATGATTTTAGCCCCGTAATACCACTTATATGTAAAGAACTGACGAATGAGCAATGCCATATCAGTATTATTAGCAGCAATGGCACTAGTGGTGATTTTCCATTTTATATGTCACAAATGGATGTATTCCTGAAGAAAAGTCCTTATTTAGAAGCAAATATGCAGTAATAAAGTATGTGGATTTTAATCCTTATAAACCACATTGAGGCTGAGGATGAATTGATAAAAATCTATAAAAAGGTCTATAAATGTGCACAAGGAAGTGACTGGAAAAATTTTTAATGCTTTGCTTAGCATTGAAATCGGTGCTGACACAAAAAATACGATTACAATCTATACATATGAAATGTATTGTGCTTTCGCCAATAAAAAGTATATGTGGACTTCACTGCTGAGCAAATGCTTACTTGCATTCCCCAGCCTTGGTTGAAGCGACCACATAATGAGCCATTCTGGCGGCTTCAAGAACTGGAACCGGCTCACCGCCTTGGCAGAACAGTTTGCCGCAAGCTGCGTCCTCTCTGATAGTAGGCAAAAAAGAATAATGAGTAAATTGAAAAAATGAAAAATACAATTCTGAAAATATTCGTTAAGATGGAGAAAAAATAAATGAATAAATAAATATATCTTATAGTTTTTATTGAAGATATGAAGACCGAAATGTTGTGGCCTCTGTTTTAGTCGCAGTCTCCTTTCGATTTATACAAGTGGGTTGACCTCGTTGTCGCAACTTGGTCTTGTGTTCAGGGAGACTATGTAAAACGCACCTAGTCCGAAGTCGCCTGCCATAGTAGTTGTCTTGTTTCCCAGCATCTGACAGTGGACTTGATATCAAGTCCCTAAACACAAGACCAAGTTGCGACAACGAGCTCAACCCACTTCTTATAGTTTTTAATTTGAAAAACATCACAGAGGAAGTTTTGGGTCTCTGAAGTGATGTATAAACGGATGAAAAATTTAATAGAAAATAATAAAGTATATAGATAAAGACAAAGCTAAATTATATATATATATATATATCGCTCCATAGCCATAAAATTGCCTCCGAGTATTCTTTAATTTTTTCCCAAGTTAATTGTGCATTCATTTATAGGTATTGTGGCAATCTTACATCTACAGATCAGATCACAAAAGTCACGAGTGGCGTAATGCGAAAAATTATAGTAAAGAGAACTACTGATTTACATTTTATCCCCGACAGGCGATTTTCCTTCCCCACCAAGGAAGCTGTTAGCACACCGGAATCCCTCAGCAGGCTCTGCTCCATTTCCCCATATGGCCTGGCAACGTCGGATTCGAGTTGGGCATCGGCCCTGGTAGCAGAGACCAGTCTCACTCTGTGGTTCCGAAGGGCTGGTGGGTTCTGGTCGATCCATCTTAGCGGACACAGTTCCAGGCCTCTTGGGATGATTGCCTTGGGTCACGCCAGATACTTCTGACGTCCTGGTCAGACGGTGC